TGTATATTGACCCTCATGGAGCAAAAATCCCCCAAATTCTGACGGAAAATGGTCACTGGAAGGGCCCTTGGCTGATTTTTAGGGTAACGTTACCGCCCAGAAAATAAAGGACTAATCTTGGGGCTTGTTTCTGCAGTTTTAAAAGCCATAAGTATGAAATACTGACTCAAATGTGCTAATCATGTGAAGCAGTATGTGTCAATTTCACAAAGATTGCCTTATTCAGAATATTTCGAGTTTTGCTGCCCTGAAATCGCATCAGATGCCTTTAATCACTTCCTCTCTGAGTCTGCCATCAAGTAGAAAAAGCATAACATGCCAGTACTGCATACATTTAACAGTTATAATCCTATGCTGCATGGTTTTCCATAGCATGGTGGCTAAGGCAACACCAATTTAATTTCTTGGTTAACGGATTTTTCTAGAAAAATAATGGAGCGGGCGGGCGAAAAAAAAATAAAAATAACAAGGCTGAGGCAATAAAATCATTGCCAAGGCGACGACTGAATGATATATATTATTTCATGTGGTGGAGCTAGCAATCTACATTACAATTATCAGGAGAACATATTTCCCTATGTTATAAAGACATGCACGTAGTGAAATTTACAGATGGGTGGAGGAGGTGTGGGGCAATATACCAAATACACGTATAGGAGGAATCAGCCATTCTTCCCCAGCAATATAGATTTTATGATGACATACTTACTCACTTTACTCGAGTTCCCGCTAGAAACAAACTGAAAACCATCCTCCACTTCACTCTATCCTCCACCAGAGACTGGATTTTATGTCTGGTCTGAAGTTGTTACTCCTTTGACTTTTTTTTACCTTTTGTGGGTTCCAAAAGGACGGATAATTTCTTTTCTCTCTGTGACCTGTTTGAATATGGTCTTTTGCCAAAGACAGCTGTGCTCTCTGTCCACGGTGTGGGGAGAAGACTGATGACCAGTAATTAATCATGCCAGGCATCTGGATGGGTGGCACGTGGGCACCCCGTGTAAGTTACCTGCTTGATCCAAAAACCACATGGCCCAAGGTTTCCTCCAAACCAATTCCCTGGGGAACGCATTCGTGCAATTTTTGAAATTCTTTCAAAGCGATCGTAGTACTTACACAAATGCCTCCGCCCCAAAGGCATCGCCAAAAACAGGCCTTGGCATCCTATTATGGCCCAAAATGGTACAATAGGAGCCATAAAGTCAACACACCAGGTTGGTTCAAAATTTAAACAATTGAATTTGAATTTTAATGATACCATTGCATTGAAAGATGGAATAACTGTAACAACTAGGATGAAAAGGACTGTTTTCAACTGTTCAGGGCAAA